TTACGTGCCGGATCTAATGAGCCCATTCATGTTCAATTCCGCCCAATAAAACGGCGGATACAGGTACCTTGAATGTGGGAAAAACTGCAAAAACTTATTTTGACAAATTCGCGTAAATAATCGCGGTTTTCTTCGAATTAATTTTACATGCATTTATGCTTGTATTGTCAAATTCGCGAATCTGTGTGGAAATAGGTCAAAAATTCATCAATACGCGAATAATATGCGTACTTTATCCAAAATTGATTGTGGAGGCACATCCGCGGTTCTTAACCGATCTTTTTAAAATAGGTGTCCTTTTGTGTATTTTCATAGGAGATTACTGAAATCGGATGCGCATAAAAATCGTATGCACGTTGCGTGATTTTTAGCCATTTTTAGGGTTTTTGCATAGTAAAGTGCATCGAGTGGCACACTTTGACCGCTATATTAAACATCGAAAAATTCATAATTATTGAAAGACATTGATTCGGTTTATACGAAAATCGCATGCGCATCAACTGATTTCAACTAATTCGCGAATTGCAAGCTTTTCAATATTGATAATTTTTATGTATTGTAAGTGCAATATATTTGGCCATTAATGACGTCGAAACTCGTATCAGATGAATCTACCGATATTTAACAACCATCTAAAAGAATTTGCAGAAGAAAGCGTCGTATATTTTAGAAGATTAAGGCAAAACCGTATCCTCTTAACCATACTAAAAAAATCGAAAATTAAAAAAAAATTGTTTTAATTCAAAATTTAATTATTTTAATTTTCCGATATCTTCATGTTTCTATTTGTTTTTTCGCGACTATTAAACCGTATTTCAGTGTGATTTGACTAGTATGCAAAGAAAACAATGGTGTTTAAGCATTTGTGAAGAAATTCGCGAATTACAACGAATAGGAATCCATTTAATTTATATTTGAAATACAAGATTTAAAACCGCTATAACTTTTGTGCGCAGCATCCGAATTTGTGAACGCGAACAGATTTCGAATCAGCATATTTTTCTTAACCTATGTACCAAAAATCATAAATGTGCTCGCAAAAAAATTTTTCAAAATTTTTTTAATGAAATTTTAAAAGAATTTTGTAATTTCCCATATATTATTTCCGAGGAATTTTTCCAGAACCGGATTTTTAAAAAATATTTTTTATATGTAACAATTTTTCTACTTATGAATTTTTTAAAAAATATTTTTTCTATGACCTGAAACTATTAAAAACATATTTTTAATAACGTTGACATTTTTCTACAATAAAAATTTTTTATAATCCATTTTGCCCTCAGGGGTACCTTTTATCATTTTTTATATCGACGACTATGCAATATTTTCGATACATTACCAATAACATGAATATTTCTCGAAACACAAATTATAATGAAATCTCAACAATTTTCAATAAATTAAAATTGCTATTTTTTCCACCATTCTTCTGTGATTTCCACATAATTAATACAACATTTCATAAATCATAATAAAAATTTTATAATAAAAAAACAAAGCTATTTTTTAGCTACAACATTTCCTAGACACATCCATTCCACTTTTCAAGATCATTAAACACTTTAGATAAAGGGAGAGGAGGAAAGGGCCACAATAATCAAATACATACAACGAGGGGAAACTCTATGAAAATTCATATTTGTGTAGGCCCCTTTTTTCGCTACGAAAAAATATGAGCGTGTGGAAAAATTGGCCCTTTACAAGACACACCTGCTTTTGACTTGAGAAGTACAACCGCACACCAAATAGGCTGTAAAGTTGGAATAAAGAGAAGGAGTGTTTTCATTTTCTTCTTTCTTTTTGTGAAAATTGGGGATTCTCATAAATGATCATGGAATGATATTTTCCCTCCTTCTGCTGTACGACAAGATGTTCGTTCGTTCGCTCGGATCTCATTGAAAATGCCAAGATTTATGGAGTTGTGTTTTGTGTCGTCAAACTGTTTGACGCCAAAAGATCTAAGAATAACCCGCACCGGTGCAGTCTGTTGGCTGACTGGCTGGCTGAATGGGCACAATTCAATTACATAAAATGATGGGGTCACACACATACATTTAGTCAGCCAGACATTTAGTCCGTCATTCACTCACTATCTCGCACTTAAAACAATTATTTCTGTGATAATAATTGTCCCAGAGGGACTTTTTAATATGGTGTCCTGTATCGAGAGTAAGAAGGGAGTATGTGGTTGCATTAACTTCCCCCATATTGTGGGGACACTTGTGGGTCATAATTTTAAATGATAATATCTTCTAATGAAGTGTGTATTTAATTTAATTTCGTGTTACACCAAAGAAACATGTTTTCAATTTCCAATCTTTAAACAGTTTTTAAATATTTCAATTTACAAGAATTTTACAAATTTTATTTATAAATGTTTTCCTTCCAGCACATTGCGATAATTAACCAGGCCACACTTCTGTAGCATCCACCATGAGGAAGAAAAATGAAAAATTATTTCTACACATTCCAAGGATTGAAAATGTTCTCTGAGAAGGACCAGATATGCCCAATAAGAGCTACTTGGGGTGGTAAATGAGGATAGGCTCTTTCTATGTCCCCACCATCTACTGCTCTAAAAACTATTAAGCATTGCTTATACACCCATCGGAACGGCTTTGTCAAGGATCATTCGGATCGCCTGCTGAAAAGTCCTTGAAAACCCCTTCCCACCTTGTCTGAATCCTTGAAAAAATATTCTTTAAAAAATCCACACCTTGTGTGAATCCTTGAAAAAATATTCTTTAAAAAATCCACACCTTGTCTGAATCCTTGAAAAAATATTCTTTAAAAAATCCACGCCTTGTCTGAATCCTTGAAAAAATATTCTTTAAAAAATCCACGCCTTGTGTGAATCCTTGAAAAAATATTCTTTAAAAAATCCACGCCTTGTCTGAATCCTTGAAAAAATATTCTTTAAAAAATCCACGCCTTGTCTGAATCCTTGAAAAAATATTCTTTAAAAAATCCACGCCTTGTCTGAATCCTTGAAAAAATATTCTTTAAAAAATCCACGCCTTGTCTGAATCCTTGAAAAAATATTCTTTAAAAAATCCACGCCTTGTCTGAATCCTTGAAAAAATATTCTTTAAAAAATCCACGCCTTGTGTGAATCCTTGAAAAAATATTCTTTAAAAAATCCACGCCTTGTGTGAATCCTTGAAAAAATATTCTTTAAAAAATCCACGCCTTGTCTGATCCTTGAAAAAATATTCTTTAACAAATCCACGCATTGTCTGAATCCTTGAAAAAATATTCTTTAACAAATCCACGCCTTATCTGAATCCTTGAAAAAATATTCTTTAACAAATCCACGCATTGTCTGAATCCTTGAAAAAATATTCTTTAAAAAATCCACGCCTTGTCTGAATCCTTGAAAAAATATTCTTTAAAAAATCCACGCCTTGTGTGAATCCTTGAAAAAATATTCTTTAAAAAATCCACGCCTTGTCTGAATCCTTGAAAAAATATTCTTTAAAAAATCCACGCCTTGTCTGAATCCTTGAAAAAATATTCTTTAAAAAATCCACGCCTTGTCTGAATCCTTGAAAAAATATTCTTTAAAAAATCCACGCCTTGTCTGAATCCTTGAAAAAATATTCTTTAAAAAATCCACGCCTTGTCTGAATCCTTGAAAAAATATTCTTTAAAAAATCCACGCCTTGTCTGAATCCTTGAAAAAATATTCTTTAAAAAATCCACGCCTTGTCTGAATCCTTGAAAAAATATTCTTTAAAAAATCCACGCCTTGTCTGAATCCTTGAAAAAATATTCTTTAAAAAATCCACGCCTTGTCTGAATCCTTGAAAAAATATTCTTTAAAAAATCCACGCCTTGTCTGAATCCTTGAAAAAATATTCTTTAAAAAATCCACGCCTTGTCTGAATCCTTGAAAAAATATTCTTTAAAAATCCACGCCTTGTCTGAATCCTTGAAAAAATATTCTTTAAAAAATCCACGCCTTGTCTGAATCCTTGAAAAAATATTCTTTAAAAAATCCACGCCTTGTCTGAATCCTTGAAAAAATATTCTTTAAAAAATCCACGCCTTGTCTGAATCCTTGAAAAAATATTCTTTAAAAAATCCACGCCTTGTCTGAATCCTTGAAAAAATATTCTTTAAAAAATCCACGCCTTGTCTGAATCCTTGAAAAAATATTCTTTAAAAAATCCACGCCTTGTCTGAATCCTTGAAAAAATATTCTTTAAAAAATCCAATCCCTGAAAAAATATTATTTAAAAAATCCACGCCTTGTCTGAATCCTTGAAAAAATATTCTTTAAAAAATCCACGCCTTGTCTGAATCCTTGAAAAAATATTCTTTAAAAAATCCACGCCTTGTCTGAATCCTTGAAAAAATATTCTTTAAAAAATCCACGCCTTGTCTGAATCCTTGAAAAAATATTCTTTAAAAAATCCACGCCTATTTTGGTATTTGAAAACAAATATTGTCGGATTGTTTCTTAAAGTATAGAATTCGATGTGTGTATAACTTTAAATGCAAATGCGTCGCAATTGTTGAAACTCCTTCGAAATAATTACGTTTTCCATTTCTACGAAACAATTTTGGGATTTTGTTATACGTTTTTTATTTTTCTTTTTTGTTTTATTATTTAACTAATTTCTAAATATATTTTGTTTAACTATTGCCAAAACCATTGTGTGATGGCTTTACAAAATTTCCCTTCGTTTGTTTTTTAGTTTTGTTAAATACAATATTTTTATATAATAGTGTGTATAATAATATTTTACTCTCAAAACAGGACAATTACAAAAAGTAATAATTTATATATATAAAAAAATTAAAACAAAATACAAAAAGTACATTATACAATTAAGTAAAAAAGAAATATAAAACATGAAAAACGACGTATTCTACCAACAAGTACAGATCGGGTGTGTGTGTGTGTGTATGTGTATATGGGTGTGCATGAACCAGGTGATGTTTCAAATATACTCTATCATCAACTTGTTACAACAAAAAGAAAAGCCGCATTCGCCGCCACCGTCAATTTCATTTCATAAAATAATGCACCACAATGGCTATCACCAGGACCAGCAGGGAAACCGCAATACCCAACATATACATGGTACGAGTCAGATCCCTTTGGCCGGCCGGATCCAGAGAACCCAATTTTTGCATTTGCTGCTTTTCAGTCTGCATTTCGAAAGAGGTATCGCTGAAGGTTTCATCCTCGGGAACACCTTCCAGATCGCCCACTATGCTATCGGTGGTAATGTCCAAATCGAGTATTTGTTTCGCCTGGGCGGCGGCAACTGTGGGAGTTTCGCCACGGAATATGTAATCACTGAATTGTATTGACTTCTGACCGCCAGCATTGACATTGAAGTACACCCTTCGTGGAGGTTCCGATATGAAAATGGCATCATTGCTAATATTTGGCTCCGTCAGACCATCACAATACACCTGGATACGAGCCATCAGGGAACGTATAATATCCTCGCGAATAAAACGTTTCACATCACCAATGGTATTCTTGGGATTACACCACACCCTTGAGGAGACAACACCCGACAAACGTATTGTACCATTGAATTCCTTGACATGCACAGGTGGGCTATTCGATCCTTTGGTATTTTGGCACTTAATGGGTAGGAATATTGTTGCCTTATAACTTTCATCGCTATTCGATTTGCCACTGCCCTGACGTAATTGTTTAATATAGCCATCCAATATTTGGTCATCGTCCACACATTCATTTTGTAAGAAGATCTCACTGGCATTCAGGTTGTTGCGCACCGTATCGATTGTTTTCTGGAATTGCACTTCGATGTTGATCTTTTCCGAAGCATCCAAGATGGGGAAAACATCGTTTAGCTCATAGTTACACTCGAAGGTAAACCATTCAAAGGGTTTCTCCACAAAACGATAGTCCAGAGGCGAGAAGGTGCCACCGCTACAAAAATTGAGTTGATTTTAAATTGGTTATTGGTAATTTTTTATATATAATTTGTTGAATTTTAAACTCAGGTTTTTGTTAGTTTTTTTTTTTTCTTTTTTGGAAATGGTGACACTGATGTGGTGTTAATTGTGTTTCGAAATAATATGGAACATAAAAACGAAATCGCATGATGATGTATTCAAACAAAACAAAAGCAGAAACCAGTATTTGAGTATCTTATTTAAATCTAAAAAACTGTTTAAACTCGCCGCTATTAACCACCTTGTTCCTTTTTCAAAAAAAAACTTGCCTATTGTGCTTGAAAATTCACGAATTGGTTGGGACCTTGAAAAATATTCTTTAAAAAATCAACATGAATAGGTCGAAATTATATACGGAAGTTATGCTATATCTAAATCTAAACCGATTTCAAGGAATCTTGCTAGATATTAATTTTTATTAATTTCAGTACGTTTTGTCAATCGGCCTAGGTGCACCATTTACTTAAAATCGGACGAAAGTATATATACAAGCTATATGTAAATCTGAACCAATTTCAAGAAAACCTGACACACGAAAGGTTATAGTAATATACAGTACATTGTACAAAATTGTGTGCCGGTCGGCCAATCTTTGAGTCTTTAGTGCACAATTTAAATTAAACCGGTCGAAAATATATATGGGAGCTATATCCTAATCTGAACCGATTTTCACAAAACTTGGCACACATCATTCTGGACCTAATTTAGTACCCTATGCCAAATTTCGTGCAAATCGAAATATATATAGGGACTTTGGAGCCCCATTTACCTTAGATCGGACGGAAATATATATAGGAGCTATATATAAATCTGACCCGATTTTCTCGAAACTTGGCACACGCCATTCTGTACCTAATTCAGTACATTATGCCGAATTTCGTGCAAATCGAAAGATATATAGGGACTTTGGTTCCCCATTTACATTAAATCGGACGAAAATATATATTGGAACTATATCTCAATCTGAACCGATTTTCACAAAACTTAGCACACATCATTCTAGGCTTATTTCAGTACGCTATGCCAAATTTCGTGCAAATCGAAAAATATATAGGGACTTTGGTGCCCCATTTACTTTAAATCTGACGAAAATATATATTGGAGCTATATCTAAATCTGAACAGATTTTCACAAAACTTAGCACATATCATTCTAGGCTTATTTCAGTACGCTATGCCAAATTTCGTGCAAATCGAAAAATATATAGGGACTTTGGAGCCCCATTTACCTTAGGTCGGAAGGGAATATATATGGGAGCTATATATAAATCTGACCCGATTTTCTCGAAACTTGGCACACGTTATTCTAGACTCAATTCATTACCATGTGACAAATTTCGTTAAAATCGAAAGATATATAGGGACTTTGGTGCACCATTTACAGCAAAATCGGACGAAAATATATATGGGAGCTATATCTAAATCTGAACCGATTATTTACCAATTTCAATAGGGGTCGTCCTTGGGGCAAATAAGTGGCATATTCCTAATTTCATCCAAATCGGATCATAAATGCGACCTGTACTTTGTTCACAAAAATACATGGACGGACGGATATGCGCAAATCGACTCAGAAAGTGATTCTACGCATGTTTTCAAAAGCAACCATGTGTCTAACTTGTTTCCTTTTCCCTGTTACAAACATATGCACAAAGACATTATACCTTGTACCACAGTGTGGTGAAGGGTATAAAAATCCACGCCATCGATTAGTTCTTGAAAAAAATGTTCTATAAAAAATACACGCCATCGATTAGTTCTTGAAAAAATGTTCTATAAAAAATCCACGCCTTGTGTGGGTCCTAAAAAAATTACCAAGCCTTGGGTGGGTCCTAGAAAAAATATTCTGTAAAAAAATCACGCCATTGTGAGTCCTGTGCAAAATACTCTTAAAAAATTCCTCTCCTTTATGAATCATTTAAAAATTGAAAATCATAGCAATTTTAATACCTACTTTTTGAAAATCTCCGCTTTCATTTCTGAAGAATTTCTTATATCCTTAATATCAACAATTACATTTACAATAATTACTTAATCTATATTCAAGCCCTCTCAACATTGCAAATTACGTGACGTGATATAAATAATTTTCATCAAAAGCAACGGAACATAAAAAAATACAAAATGTAATGAAAAAACAAAAAACAACTAAACCAAATTAGCAACAAATATTCGATACACACAATATTCATAATAAATGATGTTTTTTTCTTAAATTGAATATCAAATTATTTACCATAAAACACATTTAATATGTGCTGTAAAGTAGGTTTTCTTGCATTCCCTGTTAATGATTATCATTTCATAAAATTTGTTTGTTTTTGGTTCAAAGAGAAAATATTAAAAATCGAAATAGAACAATTAAATGGTATTAAAATCTCAACAATATTATATGACGAATTAACAAGTTATTCAAACAAATAAATTCTTCTAAATGATTTTTGGCATTTGCTAGAAGTAAAAAAGAAGAAACAAACGAATTCCAACAGAAAAATAACAAAACACAAATTATTATTTTTGAGAGACATGCAAATTCTAAGACGAATTCAGTTTGAGAATTTTTTTATAAAGTTTTACAGAAGTTTGTCATATAAAGACCTTATATACATGTCATGATCTTTTTAAATGTTTTATAATGAAGATTTTCTCATTTTTTCATATCTACAGAATAACATCTAATAGCCGTTCTACGTATTTTTTTTTTACGAATAAATAAAATGAGTATTAAATTAATTAAAATGAAATAAGCAGGGTGCATAATAATGGTGTGTTAATATTTAGTTACAAAACATGTTGAGGGTGTTACATAAAAAAATACAACTAATAGAATGTTTACATGTATGCGATTTTTGGGTTTTACTTACTTGGCAACATAGTTGTATATTTTACTGGCAGCCTTTTTAGCAGCACTGGAATAGGTGAGGAATATATATTCGGTATCATCGTGTTCATTACTCTTAAATTGGTGTCCCTGTTTAAGTAGACTGTAAAAAGAAAAGAAAAACAAATTTAATAAAAAAAAAACATAAAACAAATGAAAATTAATACCAAATGTCCAAATTAGATTCGACAATACGATAACCTTATATAGAAGCTATATCTCAGAAATCACCTAAAGCGATTTTTTTTTATTTAATCCACGCAATATTTTTGTTATATTCACGCTTGTATTGATTCTTTACAAAATATTATTTGAGAATGCAAGTTGAAAAATATTCTTTAAAAAATCCAGGCCTTGTTTTGGTCCTAGAAAGAATTATTATTCAAACAAATGACCAGATATACTCTGGTCCTTGAAAAAATTCTTTAAAAATCCACGCCTCTGTAGGCCTTTGAAAAAATATTCTTCAAAAAAATCAGCACCTCTGCTAGACCCTTGAAAAAAAATCTTTAAAAATCCACGCCTCTAGTAGGCCTTTGAAAAAATATTCTTCAAAAAAAATCAACACCTCTGCTAGACCCTTGAAAAAAAATCTTTAAAAATCCACGCCTCAGGACCTTCAAAACACCTAAAATGGAGCGTAACCTTTATATGAAGCTATGCCAAGGTTTAGGAAAGTAGGAACAAGTCATGATGAGTGAAAAGTTTTGATTTCAACGATATTCTTATGGAAATCTATTGATTCCTAAATATGGACCTCCCAAAATTCCGCTAAGACCCTTCATTTTCCCTTACTGTTTCAAATTTCCTAATATTTTTTTGTTTTTGGGCCTCCATAATTTCAATAGGACTTCTTCCTATGGACAGATGCCCAAAACTGCTCAACGATGTTGTTGATATAGCAACTTAAACTGCTGTGATTTTTTCCCTGCCACTCTGTTTCTGATTCCAGGTGCAAAAGTCCGCGACTTGTACCGTTTGTCTCTAAACTGAAACTGGGGTTCGGAGTTTGGTTGGGCAATTGAAGAGTTATAGCGTGTCATGTGAACCATTACCACTGGCACCACTTCGTACCCAATACGAATTGAGACGGCTACATCACCTAGATCCCAGTTGTGTCATGACCACTCAGGTTTCTCTTGGTAGCTGCTACTCGGTGACAGGTTTGCTTCTGTATTATCGATTTGCTTCCTCTACTACATCAGTGTGAATACTATACAATCCTGCTTGAGAGGTCTGTTGATATAGAGGCTCTCTTCTGCATCTTTAGACCTCTCTCTCTCTCTGCAGACTATGAAGATCCTTCCTAACATACCCAGGTGGTGGTTGCCTATCCATAAGGAGATGGTTCAGATGGCTATTTTTACAATCCAGCATATATTGCATCGACAACATATGGTTGTGTTGAGGCACAGGAAGAATCTTCGTCTCCTCATATAAGCAGTCCATTAGAGTGATAGAGGACACCCTGTTGCATTCCTCAAGTTCGAACAGGATTGAATATTTTTCCATTGCGTTGAACTAACGTTGGCGGGTAACACTGGTGTCGCATAGTTTAACACAGCCCAGCCGCTGCACATGTTTCTTTATCCACTCTCCAAGTACTGCCGACTAGCATTTGTTAACATTGTTCATTATCTTATTGGGAGTAACTGTGGCTTATAAAGGCTATCGAATATGACCCCTAGAACGTGGAAGGTTAAAAAATATATGGTTTCGTATGTTACCGGCCATTTGCCTGTGTTTTAGGTATTTCATATATATGGATGACAAAATCAACAACCCAACAGAATTCTATTTAGAATTGAATAAACAGCTCCAAATGTTTATCCATATTGTTGTAATAAATTTTAAAAAGCATGGAAAAATGCGTTTCGATGTCCATATCTTAGAAAATATGAATTTGCAAAAGAGAGTAAAGAATATCGTTGTAACCATGGGCCCTAGAATAGTAAAATTCTCAAAGCAATCCTCTACCGCGCCTTAAGCTAAAGTCATGCCGGTTGTGACTTCCCAGTATCTGTATAGGTACCATGATGGTATCTTTGCCATCGTAGATTTCATTAAGAATTTTCATATCTGAGCTTCGCTCATACTTACTTGTGCATATCAAAGAACAGTCTTTTGGCAGATTTAAATTCATCCGAAGAATCATCAACATAATCCTTGCTGACACCGGCAATAAATAATCCTGTAATCGAATAAAATAAATGAAATACAATTCAGAGAAATACAATTTTCACAAACTTACCCATAACATTAAATGAACCAGGTATCATTTTGCCGGCACTTAACCATTGATTGCCCAGTGAGTGTAAATTTATTTGCTCGACCTTCTGAGGGCCAACGGTCGCCGAGGAATCGGCATCGGGAAAATCACTTTCCTCCTCGTCATTTTTGGCCAAATGCACGACGATATATTTACCGGGTTCGGATTTCTGGAGAAAAAAAATTAAATTATATTTCTCGGATAAGCAAAATAATAACAACAAATGAGACGTAGATAATTATCATCGATGCGAATGCTGGTGGCAGTGATGGTTGATGACGTTAACAAATGTTAGCCAAAGTAAATGCAAACATTATGACAAACGCACACACACACATAACCATATTTCTTGAAATATTTCAATTTGTATCTTGATCAAACAATTAAAATCAAAAAATTTGTTTGCTATTGCATGTTAGGGTCTGTAGGAATGCCCCACCACCAGCAGTGTTAAATCCCAATGCAGTCACCTAAACAGCTGCTCCCCAAGACATTATTTTACAGCAACTGCATTTCAACACATTGCAAACAACAACAACACCAGTGACAGCAGCAGTAGCAGCTCTACACCTCTTACCTGACCAATGATGATGCCATAGCTAAATTTCATTTGTGTTGCACATTTTTCCAGATATTCTTCATCGGCTTTGCTTAGCAATAATTTGGCCATTGCCAGACTTCTAGCATGAACGAGGATGCGAACGATGAAGACAAATGTTTGGAGTTTCTTTTTCGGTTGTGGCTTGCGGCGTTTTCCCTTCTGCTGCTACTCCTTCGACTCGTTCGGTAGTATTTTTCTTCAGCTGTGAGAAGAAGAAAAAACACTCTACGTATGATTGCCAATTGGAATTGTGTTGTTGGTGTTGCTGACAAATTGTCATATTTTGTTTACGTGTGTCAACACAACACAGGGTTGTATTTGGTGTGTGTGCGTGCGAGTGTTATTAATGATTGGTGAATGACGGGTTGTGATGAGTTGCCAACCATTTGAAATTCAGTGAAAAAAATTCGTTGGGTATGGAGGAAAAAAAAAATTGTTTATTTTTTAATTTATTTTCATTTGATGGAAAAATTAATTAACTTTTTAAATTAAAAGAAGAATTAGAGTAATGCTACCTTAGCTCTGGATGGTGAGTTTTTTTTTCCTTTCAAAAAATAGATAATTAAGAATTTGCGGTTTAAATACAATTTTAGATATAGGATTCGTGTCACGAGAAGTCCTTGGAATACTTATTGCGCCAAAATACATTTTCTGGTAAAATCTCACTTCTCTTGCTGTGGTTTAGTACCTACATCCGGAGAAAAAGACTTCCAAAGTTCAGCAACGTTGCATTTAAAAAGAGGTTTCGAGGAGATTGCGTAGACTATTGTGGTTTCTGGCCATAGGAGAAAGAACCTGAGAAGTTTTATTAGATATATGTCGTAGCAGCTCTTGACCTGTATGCAGGGAATATGAAATCCTCTACCGAAGACCGCACCCATTCAAAAGCTTCTTTAATTAAAAGTACATTTTGAGGCAGATAAGGCAGCTCGGAGTGTTTGATATGCGTTGACGGTGAATATCGCCGTCGAATGAACCATGAGCTGTACCAGCTATTCTCGGACATCGGCATTGTTAGACGTATTAGGCTGCAACGACTACGTTGGCTAGGTCATGTTGTGAGAATAGATGAAGATATCCCAGCCCAAAAGGCACGTAAAAGCGAACCAGCTGATGGTTCACGCAGAAGAGGAAGGCCACGAATAAGATGGAAAGATCAAGTGGAGGACAACATTGCCGAATATGATCTTTTAAACAGGAAAAAAACTGCGCAAAAGACCGACGCGCCTGGAAATCTTTTCAAAGCTCGGCTTATGGAACGAAAGTTCTGTCACAAGCCAGCTAACAAACAAGTAAAGAAACATTTTGTCGGTTAGCAACATCTGTTTATGTTTATACCTATATAGATGTACCCCTATAAAGCAGGCGGACTTCTAAAAATCATATATATATATATATATATATTGTAATAATAATGACATTTTTGTTACGGATCTATCATCGAATGACCACATAGGTATGCCTCGGTTAGATCGGTCTGACCACTGCCTCATCATCGAACTTCGATTGAAATGGATGCTCTGGGCTAAAAAGCATTTGATACCTTTTCCAACCTATGTGAGCTGAAGATGTAATTTTTAAATAAGTTTGCAATATCATCATGGCATGTGGAATGTTCCGGGCTATTTAAAAGCTTCTTTAATTAAAAATACATTTGGTCGGGTAGCAACATATGTTTATATATATACCTATATAGAAGTCCCACGATAAAGACGGCGTATTTCTAAAAATCATATGTGTATTGTAATAATCACAACCTTTTTGTTACAGATCTATTATCGAATGACTACAGATGCGTCGGTTGGATCACTACCTCGTCATTGAACTTCGATTGAAATGGACGCTCGGGACTAAAAAGTCTTTTCCAAACTATGGGAGCTGAAGAATTTATTGTTGAAGAATTTTTCAATATCTCCATGACATGTGGAATGGTTCTGGACCATGAAATTCTCTGAAAAAATAAGTTACGCAGATCTAGGTAAGTACTCGACATTTTCATGAATAATATTGTCAGATATCTCTCAACGTTTAATTCCGAGTTCTTAGAGGGTGAAAAATAGCTTTCCAGCAAATTTTCAAAATAGTTTCTGCTCCGACATAGAATCCATATAAAGGCTTTGCTTAATTTTCCATATTTCGTTAAACTCTTCATGCCGAATATCAAAATTGTTCCATATTTAAGATAGCCACCATACAAAGGTACACACGTTCATCAGAATGTGCTGTAATTTTGAGTTTCAAATCTATCAACCGGAAATAATCAATATTTGTAATTTTTTTAGAAGGTTTGGGGTAAGAATTTAAGAAAACTATAAAGGTAATATGAGGCGATTCCAGTATCAATGTTGATTTGAATTATGCACATCGAAAATTCAACCGAATTTGTTTTATATATTGTTGATTGTTATTGCGACTTCCTGAATGAATTTAGCGATTTTAAATATCCATTGTTGGAGGTATAAGAAATTCGGTCCGGTAGAACTTAACATCATTATACCCTACACAACTATGTTGTCAGGGTATTATAGCTTTGTGCAGCCCCAAGAATTTGTAACACCGCGAAATATTGGTCCTAGACCTACCATTAAGTATACCGATCGTCTTATCTCGACTAGCTGAGTCGATCTAGATGTGTGTGTCCGTTCGTCCGTCTGTCCATTATAATTTGTAAACACGATACAGAACACAGTTATAGACCAATCTTCACGAAATTTTTCATATAGGAAGGGTTCTGGCCAATGAAGACCCCTATTGTTTTTGGTAAAGATCGGTTAATATTTAGGGGATTATATGGACCAAATATTTATTTTTTGTCGGTTTTTTTTTGGTCGCTCTAGAGGCCGCAAATATGACCCGATCATCGCGAAATTTTACATAGGAAAGAGGATTGGGCCAGTGAATGTGCATGCCTGCTTTGATAAAGATCGGTCATTATTTAGCGGGTTAAATGGACCCTGACTTTTGTGTGAAATATATATGTATTCTATGGCGTATATATTTACTCCTGAAGCACATAGACCCGCGAAGTTGATAGTGTATCCAAAAGGAATGGTTGACCTTCAAAATGATTCCAATTACATTGTCGTATGTACTCGGATGTGGGAGTTACACTCAAATATTTACAGGTGCTTACGTATTCAGATATTATTTAGTAACCCATTACCACATTATAGGGCGGAAATATAGCGCTGATCGCTTTGAAATTTTCCATGAAGTTCCAATTATGGTGAAGGACAACGCCTATAATTTTCGATGATGATCAGATTAAAATTTTGGGATGAGGTGGACCGAAAACTTAATTGTTTGTGTGTTAATTAATTGTTTGTTTGTGTGAAGCATCCAAAATAGGCGTGGATAGATTAGAGGCGTGGATTTGATAAAGAATATTTTTGAAGCATCCAAAATAGGCGTGGATAGATTAGAGGCGTGGATTTGATAAATAATATTTTTGAAGCATCCAAAATAGGCGTGGATAGATTAGAGGCGTGGATTTGATAAAGAATATTTTTGAAGCATCCAAAATAGGCGTGGATAGATTAGAGGCGTGGATTTGATAAAGAATATTTTTGAAGCATCCAAAATAGGCGTGGATAGATTAGAGGCGTGGATTTGATAAAGAATATTTTTGAAGCATCCAAAATAGGCGTGGATAGATTAGAGGCGTGGATTTGATAAAGAATATTTTTGAAGCATCCAAAATAGGCGTGGATAGATTAGAGGCGTGGATTTGATAAAGAATATTTTTGAAGCATCCAAAATAGGCGTGGATAGATTAGAGGCGTGGATTTGATAAAGAATATTTTTGAAGCATCCAAAATAGGCGTGGATAGATTAGAGGCGTGGATTTGATAAAGAATATTTTTGAAGCATCCAAAATAGGCGTGGATAGATTAGAGGCGTGGATTTGATAAAGAATATTTTTGAAGCATCCAAAATAGGCGTGGATAGATTAGAGGCGTGGATTTGATAAAGAATATTTTTGAAGCATCCAAAATAGGCGTGGATAGATTAGAGGCGTGGATTTGATAAAGAATATTTTTGAAGCATCCAAAATAGGCGTGGATAGATTAGAGGCGTGGATTTGATAAAGAATATTTTTGAAGCATCCAAAATAGGCGTGGATTTGATAAAGAATATTTTTGAAGCATCCAAAATAGGCGTGGATAGATTAGAGGCGTGGATTTGATAAAGAATATTTTTGAAGCATCCAAAATAGGCGTGGATAGATTAGAGGCGTGGATTTGATAAAGAATATTTTTGAAGCATCCAAAATAGGCGTGGATAGATTAGAGGCGTGGATTTGATAAAGAATATTTTTGAAGCATCCAAAATAGGCGTGGATAGATTAGAGGCGTGGATTTGATAAAGAATATTTTTGAAGCATCCAAAATAGGCGTGGATAGATTAGAGGCGTGGATTTGATAAAGAATATTTTTGAAGCATCCAAAATAGGCGTGGATAGATTAGAGGCGTGGATTTGATAAAGAATATTTTTGAAGCATCCAAAATAGGCGTGGATAGATTAGAGGCGTGGATTTGATAAAGAATATTTTTGAAGCATCCAAAATGTGGATAGATTAGAGGCGTGGATTTGATAAAGAATATTTTTGAAGCATCCAAAATAGGCGTGGATAGATTAGAGGCGTGGATTTGATAAAGAATATTTTTGAAGCATCCAAAATAGGCGTGGATAGAATATTTTTGAAGAGGCGTGGATTTGATAAAGAATATTTTTGAAGCATCCAAAATAGGCGTGGATTTGATAAAGAATATTTTTGAAGCATCCAAAATAGGCGTGGATTTGATAAAGAATATTTTTGAAGCATCCAAAATAGGCGTGGATTTGATAAAGAATATTTTTGAAGCATCCAAAATAGGCGTGGATAGATTAGAGGCGTGGATTTGATAAAGAATATTTTTGAAGCATCCAAAATAGGCGTGGATAGATTAGAGGCGTGGATTTGATAAAGAATATTTTTGAAGCATCCAAAATAGGCGTGGATAGATTAGAGGCGTGGATTTGATGAATATTTTTGAAGCATCCAAAATAGGCGTGGATAGATTAGAGGCGTGGATTTGATAAAGAATATTTTTGAAGCATCCAAAATAGGCG